CGCCTTAAACCACTCGGCTATCGCGCTCTGTTACCATACATAGCAGTTTTTTTCTTATATATACATTAAAATGGATTGAAAACGGCTTCGCGTGGTGGAAGCTTCGCGGCTGCTCCATTAAACAGGCCCTTCTTTTACTTTTGCAATGCATATTGGCACGAATTTAGATCAAGATCTATCGGCAGATGTTGTTTTTTAATTGGAAGTTTATTTTCGTCTTAATGTCAACAATGCAAGATAAAATTGTCGGTAAGATCGATCGAGATTCAATTGTATTGAAATTACCGACCAATTCTTCGCACACGTACGGTATCCTCGATCGCTCAGACCATTTTTTAACATGTAAACCTATAGGGTAACCATGGAGACTGACCTATTTTCCCAATAACCATGGTTATTGGGATTTTGAACTGTTTTTTAACCATGGTTACCGGGAATTTTCGGGAACAGTTAAAGTTTATGAATGCAATTTCGACCAATCAGATTGCTGGATTACTTAAAAGAGGTATATAATAATAATTATTAATATTATAATATTAATAATAAAAATGACAATAACAATAACAATAACTATAATAAATATAACAATAATAATAACAACAACAATAATAACGTCGCTGTTTTCACGAAGTGACGGTAATGAACAAAAATTGCATTCACTTTGCGTGACGATTTTCCTCACTAACGTCACTTCGTGAAAACAAGGACGATAATAGGCTTTTGTATAGCATTCATGTCTGTCAGAATTTACACTCAAGATATTTTCCATCTGTACTTGCAATATACTCATGGGGAGCCAATCAAAACCACAATTGCACTATAATAGGACAAATGCTAATGACCGAGAAGCCCAAATGGAAAGTTTCTGCTGATGATAACCAGAGAGTCAATTGGATTTTTATATTTACAGGCTTGACCTATAACTTGCTTTCCTGCATATAATTGAAATACATTCTGGCAATTATTGGCCAAGATCTATATTTAGCATCTACTTAAAAAACGCTTGAGTCACCATGAATCTTAAAATAGAGAGATGAAAGTACTCTTCTTTTTTATATAAATAAAAAATTAAGCTATTTTTTAATGTGTACCTTTTCAATCCCTAGTTATTGCAGTGTTTGATCTGAATCATGCTTGAAAAACTCTCCCTTCCCCAAAAAATTATACACATATACATGTATATAAATACAAACATAAATGCAAACAAAAATTAATGGGAAAAATATACAAAAATTGGCAAATGCTTTAGAAAATATGCTGCACACTACTGCATTCGTAGCCATTATAATCAAAAGCATTTCCTTCATGCATCTACGGTTACTGAAGAGCTTTTAAATGGCCACTTGCAACATGGCTTTAATTTTGCGGACCCCCGCTCATTAGATCAATAGTCCTTGCTTACATAAATTCTCCTAGGGACTCGAGCATATTTGAATTGGGAGAGCGGTCCTGTAATTTGAGAGGGAAGAGACAGTAGGTAGAGGTGGAGGGCAAGAAGGGACCTACCACCGTGTATGTTTATTTGATCGCGCCGGTGAGAAGTGCCCCCCCCCCCTCCCCCCACACACACACACACTGGAGGGTTTCGAGTGAAGGGTTTTGTAGCTGTGTAAAGTGAACCAAAAACAAAAAGCGGCCTTTTATATCATCCTCTGTCAGTACTGTCAGCTATTATGTGTTCATAATTTTACTTGAACAGGCAAGTTTTTAGTTGGTACCTTTATGAAATACTGTAGAATCTCATGAAAGCTTTACTTTAAACCATATTCTAGGAGCATTTGCTGTTGATAACCAATATATACTGTATGTTGTGTTAATATGAATATCTTAGACAAACACAAAATCTATTTGGTATGAAGTGTATTACTTCATACACATTGTATACTTTCTCTCCATCTCCCTTCCTCTCGCTCCCTCTCTCACTCACAGTGACAAATCAGCCCCTTTCTTTCTTGTCTCTCATCTCCCCCCCCCCCCTCACTCTCTCTCTCCCTTTCATTCTTTCTTCCTCCCATTTTCCCTTGTTTCTCTCTCTTACTGTCTATCTCTATCTGCCCACCAACCCCTCTACCATCATTAACCCCCCCCCCTCTCTCTCTCTCTCTCTCTCTCTCTCTCTCTTTCTTTCTGTCTCACTCTGTCTCTCTCTCTCTCTATTTCTCTCTCTCTCTCTCTATTTCTCTCTCACTGCTCATCATCTCCCGCTCTCTCTCCTATCCCTATCTCCATTTCCTCATCCTTATACCAGACTGCAAGCTGACACATTGGGCCTCTAATGAATACATCAACAAGAGCGCAGATTACCATCCAAGACAACCGACATGGCAGCGCACAACACACATCATCTCCGATGTCATCCCAAGACCCGTCATGAATAAAGGCAAGATGGCTTCTCCCTACACGCAGGCAACGTCCTTTGACGTAAGCGATCTGCCACGAGAGGGCAATCTATAGCTGATATACATGGTTATCATCTCGACGACGGCTCATAAGACGACAACAAGGGGGTATGGTAATATGAGCATCCGTTCTAAGAGACTTTACAAGCCAGATCTTGGGCTCGTGCTTATCATAATCACATGATACGTGTGTGCATTTGACAACCAAGTAATATTTGTGTGGGTTCAGCTTACATCTGGGATATGGATACTGCCTAACTTGTCGGATGTATCTAACTTGTCAGATGTTCCTACTCCCACACTGCATGCATGCCGCTTTACCACATCAATTTGTTTTTTAATCATTTAGAAGAAAGCATGTAACAATAAAGACATTCATTTGAGTCAATTTAAAATCTTATTGTTTTGCCTACAGAAATTACTTGCAAGGTTATAAGAAATAATGGTTTGATAACACATTTTTTAAGGTGATGCACAAGGCTATGTAAGCTGCATCTCAAGTGATTTCACAAAAAAGATGTGCATTCATGTTTTCAATATGAGCAAGAAGATTGAGCACTGCATTTTCTCAACTACTTATATTTACATGTACGTGTTGTAATCTAACTGAACAAAAAGCTTTAAATTAGGAACAAAAATCTCTTATGCCGAAAGAAAACTAACAATTTAAACAGCTTTCAATGTGTTACGGGATGGCTTAGGTATTCCTCTTTCACTATAACAACAATTGCATACATGTGTACCTCACTGTTGTTACAGGGGAAATACACAAGACTAATGAGACATATTTCCTGTTTGTTTCATACTATCCTAACAAAACCTAACAAAAGATCATAGTGGTAGCAGAGTACCACTTAAGCGTTGTTTCACATACCGATGTTGCATTGAATTCCTACCTTTCCCTGAGAAAATGTATACTATCTAGCTTAAGATGTTTTTGAAGGTATAGGACTTAAATTTACAGGGCATCATTTACAGGGGAGATTTCAGTCGCCTAAACGCTTGCTTATGTTTAGCCCTGGGTCATGCATTGCCATATTAAACAATCATTACATGGAATGCACTTGGGATCTGTTTTTTGTTCCTCCGTTTAACATGATTTAATTTTTTTCCCCTTCTTTTCCTCTTCATTTATCTACTAAATGGAGGTATTGGACCTTCTACACGTACATTCTATAATTCAAAGTGTGCTAACAGGTATACTCCATCTTATTTATTCATTTCCATGGCAACATTAATGCTTCTTTAAACCTTTTTTCATTTTCCACCAGAACTGAAATCATGCATACCAATTGCTTCTTTCATCTACTCTTGGACATTTAACCCTTCTCCAATCTACTTTTCAAAACACACATACATGTATACATGTACATGTGTATCTATCTTATTCATTCATTTACATGGTTATACATTATGAGCATGTACTGTATTTCAGTTTTCTAAACATGTCTGAAATCAGGCATGACTATGGATTCTTGAAGTGGGAGAAATAATTAGTTTGCTTTGTTTCTCAACCCACTACACAAGTAAGACCCGATGTAGATACTGTGTTGCAATAAAAGTGGCGCTTTTCATTAACTAAGCGTGCATTGTGTTAACATGTATTTGCCTATTTTCACAAGTACTGCAGGTAGAACAGGAATCTGGATAGATTGGCATTATTCCATCAGAAGAGGGCAGCATACTATATCACTTTGAGTGGCACATAAAGTGATATTTGTGAATCAATATTGATTCTCTCTCCTCAAAAATTACAATTCTCCTTTTATTCATGAATTGCCTTGGAATTTAGGGGGATCTTCTTCTACTAATCACATTATCTTGGACTTGGATTTCTTTACAGGTTGTACATTTGTAGGTCACTGATGTTTGATGTCAATGACAATATCTGTCTGTACCTCAAAAAATCTTGAATTTCAGATTTGTTTTCCCTTCCCAACACATATTAATCTTTTCATGATTGTGTTGTTAGGGGCATGGTGTAATGGGGCAGTGACCTGCATGTAACAGGTGGTTTTATTGGAGTGCTTTCATTTAAATCCATGGTGCATAAATATGCAGAAAGTCTGTTTTAATGTAGAAAAAGGAAATCTTTAATGACAGATGTAACAATGGTAAAGATCAAATCTAGTCATATCATTAATAAATGAGTATATCCACATCTAAAGAAGACAAACGGGTTAATGCAACAAGGGTAAGGGATTGATGATATTCACTTTAACAAGTTATTAATATCAGCTGTTTATAAGAATACCACTTGTTTTTACTTTGATAGCAGGAAAAGAGACCATGGCATGTTGGAGCCCCATGTATTCTGTTCAAACGCTATGAATCCAGAATAGTCCCAAAACATAGAGGTGACATGGCCTGAAAACTGCTGTATTCAAATCAGATTAATCACACAAATAAGACAATCATTATCAATCATTTTACCCCCCCCCCCTCCCCTAAAAACAATCATCATGTAAATCAATGATTACAAATAATTATCACTTATTTAAATTGCTATGGAAATACATGTACTGTAACACGCAATAATAGCTAAACAGACAGACAGACAGACAGACAGACGACAGACAGACAGGCATCCAATAGACTTACATTGATCATGGCGTTGGATGTTATGCGGAACAACGTCGCCCTCTCGCTGATGCCCTTCAAGCGGGACGAGGCCTGCCCGGGGTCCTCTGTGGTCTCTAGCTCGGAGAGCGACCTCTGTAGTGCTGCGCCGTGCTTCACGATCAGATCGTTGCAGGTGTTGAGGTCCTCTAGCTTGCTGGTGAGCTGGCGGAGCGTGGTCTGTACCTCGTTGTGGTCTGTCTCTTGAGGATGCAACTTTTCATCATCATCTGCAAATAAAAAGAAGAAGAGATTCAGATTTATTTCTATTGGTATAGTTTAGGCTTTTTTAAATATAAAGTTGAGTTCAGGGCCCCATTTCATAAAACTTATCATCAGCGACAAATGACAGTATTTGTTATAGGCAAGTGAAATCCTTGCTTCTGATTGGTTATAGAAATTGACTCAGTCATGCTGGAAATCACATGCACTGCACACAGAAATGTATATATTGGACTACACGTGCGGCATGAAAGAGTTTGGTCCAAACTCATCAGCTATGACTCCTCATATTTTGAATATGATGACATTTGAAGAGCTACCCTTTTCACTGGCTTTTTTTATCATGAAATTCCTCCAAACTGACATCAAAAGATTTAAGAAAGCTAACGAACAATTTACCACCTTCACTAGAAGTCAACAATCTCTTTAACTGAAAAGATGATTGGTACTACAAAATCAGAGAATCACGTTGAAAAGAGCCGTACTTAAAGGGCAAGTCCACTCAAAAAATAACTTACAATAGAAGCAGAAAAATCAGACACACCAATCAAAAAAGGTTTGAGCAAAATCAGATAACTATTAAATAAGAAAGTTATAAATTTTTGAAAAAGTATGTAAAACCATGGACCAATGGAAATTGTGGCTAAACTGATCGCACTTGGATGGCTCAGATATGACAATGTAAAAGGATGTCTGAAGACTTGTTCAGATTATGGCGAGGTAAACCGCCGCAATGAAAGCAGCCGCAGTGTTTTTACGTGTAAATGAATGGGAACTGTGGTTGCTGAGCACTACAAAGGACTTGCATGTATTCACCGAGCTCTGTGTTTTAAATTCAGAAATATTATGTGTACATGTACATGTACGTCATCATAAAAAACTGCAGCGATTTTGCCGTGCGTCATATATCTGAACGAGGCTCAATTTTGCTACATTTTAGCTTCAACCACCTACAAGGTAGCATACAACTACATGAACATGAGAAGGCAGAAGCTGAACGAAAACACTTCAACTGCGGTTCATTTTTTCATCATTCTTCAAAATGTTCTGCTTAACCCCTCTCTTTAGCGCCGCCTATACGGCAACCAATAAAAATACAATGAACATAGAGCATTCACCACTTCCAGACCTATTCCTCTATACATTGACAAACTCTGCCACTGATAAACATACTACTACCGGTATGTGGAATGGAGATTTGTTATTTGTACAGGCACCCAACACGACCGGATTAAATCAATATCGAATGCAATCTGGTGCTTTTTGCCAACTTATTACATGGATGTGATTTTATTAAATTACAATGAAAGCAATCTGTTGCATTTTGTCTACTTATTGCAGGAGTGTGAATAACATGATTCTATTGAATAACATGTGTACATTACTTGTATGTATCTGGGACTATTGATTCTTCAGATACTTGCAGCAATACTGAATCTGAATTTGTTAATAATATTGCTTATATATTAAACACCATGATTGTTGCTCATACACTAAACATTGTCTGTTCAAAGCTAGTTGGGCGTTAACTTTGTGTTAAAGTGTATGAATTAATGCCCTTCTGGCTCCAAACAGACAGCATCATGTATCCAAAAGAAAGTCTTAACAGGACAAGTAAAACAGAAGAGTATTAAAGGAATACTAAGGAAGATACAAACTAAATAAATTATATATTATTTTCACTTATTCCTTTTCAATAAATAAAGTCAATAAGCCAGTATTCTAATCCAGCAATCAAAATGTGTTTGGTTTAATCTGGGTCAACAAATAGTTGACCCAAATAGGACATTCTATTTCTTTAGAGATAACTTGGATAGCTGACATCAAGAGATACAATTACAGAAACACTATATATTAGTACAAAAATGCTGAATAGATTTACGCAGGAACTGATGCCTCTACAAAGAAACACTAATTGTTTATGTATTAAAATACAATGTAATGTGAATCTCAAACAACCTCAAAGTGAACTTTAACAAAGAGGGGTCGCAGACACTCCTACATGTATAACCTAATTATGCTGTAATTAATACATGCCAACCATGAACGTACATCAGAGTTCACTCCATACAGTACATGTACGCTTAACTATGTAGCGCAAGGTCACGTCAAACAAATACTTGAGTTTTAATGTTGGGATAGCATATCATCTTTTTAAAGCTAGAAGGGCATTAACTCTGTGTTTAAAGTATATGAGTTAAGGGCCTCCTGGCTCCGACAGGATGAATTCTTATTGGCATTTCACCCTTGAAAGCCCAGTTATCTCTACTGCTGATTAATGAATCGTCTTGTACTTGAAGGTCCTCAAGCACTGTTAATTTTTAACTACTGAGACTCTCGAAGGCAAGCTTAAATAGAAATAATGTGAACATTCATCATGGCCGTCTTGGCCGACACGTGAAGGGGTTGCTTTTCACAGGTTTCCCCAACTCTATGCCGATACCATCATCTCATCTGTTTGGAACCAGAAAGGCATTAATGATATACTTTAATACAGAGTTGACAGAAATTTAGGCCCTTCTGGCTTTGAGAAGATAATTTCTGATACTTAGTGTATTCTTAGCTCTTGCATAGCTCTCATTCTCCTTTCAAGATGTAGACCATTTTCCAGTTTTTCCTCTAATTCTGTTTAGAGCCAGAAGGGTACTAATTCAGTGTTAATTCAGTGTTAAACTTAGTGTTAACTTGAGTTAACGCCCATTTTACTCTCACTAATGCAGTGTTAATTCAGAGTTAAACTTAGTGTTAACTTGAGTAAATGTCCTTTTTAATCTCACTTATTCAGTGTTAATTCAGAGTTAAAGAGAAGGTTGAGTTCTGGGAAGAGGTGAAAAATAATTTGTGAATATTACTCATTCTTATTATGCAAGTATGGAAGAACATCAGTTAAGACATGTTCCCTGAAAAGCATGGCTCTTCAAATGCCTTCATATTCTAAATATGCATGTAACATCGTAAAAATCGGGGGCCGGCTTTTTACGCCACGTGTTCGTGTAGTCCCATATACATCTTTCTGTGCAAGTGTTTGTAATTTTACCAAGACTTGGCCAAATTTCTTATCATTTTGATGATTCCAGAACCTTGCAATACACACAAATTTTTATATGCTAGATGATCAACCTTTTCTGGTCGGTTCCACACCGTTTCTTTCACAATGCAATCGCATGACCAGAACTCAACTTCATCTTTAAACTTAGTGTTAACTTGAGTTAACGCGCTTTTTACTCTCACTAATTCAGTGTTAATTCAGTGTCAAACTTAGTGTTACTTGATTTCACATCCTTTTTGCTCTCAGCACAATAGTAGATGAAATCAAATCCTTAAAAATGTCATTATAATTGCTTTAAACAACTGAAAACTCAAGTATCTAGAAGGCAAAAAAAAAAATATCAGGAATCCATGAATAAATCAAGATGGAAATAAATGGCACATGCACAAACAATCGCAAAAATTCACTCCAAGCCGTAAGAAAAATCATTTGTTAAACTTGGCTCAGGGCAAATGAACCCCCAACAGATGTTGTTTCAGAGAATCCAGAATGTGCTACGAAGGTACTACAAGTACCCATCATATGATCGTATACAAAGACTACACATAATTACTATTAAGGGTCTGCACTTATAGACTATTGCCAGTCTGTGAATGCCACTGAAATGTTCCCCACGAAAATATAATCATATGTTTGATAAATGTATTCATCCAGAATGCACTGTCAACATGGCATGCCACTGTGCTGACATACATGTATATTCCAGTTAACTCTAAATATTGAATGCAAAATCTACATGACTATTTTATAGCAACTGGATCGTAATTAATTGCTTGCTCAAGTATGAAGATTCCTTTTTTTCTTCTTCAATTTAACAAGACAAAAAGGGTAAAAGCAATGTTGTCCATGATTCAATACCTGTTTGAAGTAAGATACTACAGTATCTCCATATACTATATACCTACATGTAATCAATGTAATCACATCATTCTGTGTATTAAATTATTCATTGAATATATATATAAAAAGATGCAGATTTTTCTTTATATTTTTCAATAGCTGACTCGCAAACACATACTGTAGTATTTGAGAACAAATGGTCCTCTCCTTTGGAAAAATGTACAAAATAATTGCCCTCAGAAATAAAATACTAACTAGTAACTACATAGCTATTCATCATGGGTGCAATTAAATATAAATGTACAATATACATGTATAAGAAAAATAATCAAGTATATTATACAAGTGTGTTTATAGATGGCCCCTGTGCCCAAAATAAAGTATACAAATACATAAACATTTCATTAAATAGCCCAACACAAACCACCTACAAATGTGTGTACATGTTACAAATAGCCATGCTCTCATTCTGTGGCATAGTGAAACTCTGCATTTATCCATCTCTTGCCGGAAAATGGTGAATATATATTCAGAGCATGAACTCTATGTTAATGTGACATTTAGGATATGGCCTACTAAAAAATGTGTCTCTCATTCTCGCTCATAACCTTTTAGTCAGGCGACACCTTTTTTGTCCTTATTTTTCTTTCGTAAAAAGGTTTCTTTTTGTTGTCTCCTAGTTCTCTTTCTTCATAAGATGTATCCTTGATGTTGTCCAATTTCCAGAATTTGCATTTTAGTGAGAAATCACTAATGGTTTGAGAGGCGTGTATTTTTTGACCATTTAAAGGTTTGACTTTAATGCTAATGGAATAGTAGAAATGCCTTTATTGAATTGAATGCAGTTCTATAAAATTTAAAAAAGTAGTTTATATTTGTAAAGCGCTTAGAGACATTTGTATTAAGCGCTATATAAAAATGATATATCATGATTATTATTATTATTATCAATTTAATTGTTATCTGATTTTGATGAATTTGTTTATTACATATAGCAATTCAATTGGAACAAATTTGAATGTCTGTACCATGTCCAATGTACATTGTACAAACAACATTTTTTTTGCAAGTATTCTCTGGTATTTGTATTATCTACATATGCATCTAGATGTACAGTACATGTATATGACTCATTCAGAACCCAGCACAATAAGCAACAATTTACAGATATATGATTATTTCGTTATTTTTTACAAAGAATCTATATACTGCAAAGCAATCGATAATAAACAAGCTGTATTCATAAAATGTGAATATTTGAATACATGGAGTCATGATAAGAAATGAGAAAGGCAATTCATTTTGATACATTTTGATTACATAAAACCATGTAATAAATATACAAGGCATGCAATCATGAAACCATATTCCACGCCTACTTTTTTTTAAAGAAGGCCTAAAAACACAATAAAAGACTTTCAAGAAAGCGATGACAGGGAAATTTGAAACCCTCTTGTTTTTCTTATAGAATTTCAAAAGTTGGCACAAAAGGTTATTAAAATTACTGAATGTCTTTGCGATTAGGTTGCCTAAGTCAAAAAGTACTTTACAGAACATCAATTTATAAGCATCAACCACATGCTAAACCTACTTTTTTTTTTGCAAGTAAATGTGACATCATGCACTTGACAACACTGGCAAAAAAAAATCAAGTTAACACGAAACCATTCCGAAACATGTAATTTAGTATTTCAACTTTCTCCGTCATCCACAGTACAAATACAGTGATGCCATCAATACCTAGTTAAAAGCAACAAAAAACACGATCTGTGGTATTATAAAAACACATGAATTACAGCTGAATGAAATGACACCCAGAATCGAAAAGAAAAATTGATCATAATGAAAGCAAATTTGAATACCTTTAGGCCACTGTACGAGTGTCCATGGCAGCCCAGCTGAAATAAAGCAGTAATATTTTCATGCAATAGAATAAGAATCTAGATAAAGCCTGAAGGCAATAAACAACATCAATAAAGAAAAGAGGGAAGAATATGCTTTATATCCTAAAACTATGTTGTTTTAAATATTTTCAAGCATAAAAATAAGGATTTAAATAAAGGCAATAAAAAATAACCTCAACAGGAAAAAGAGGGTAATATATGTTTAACATCCTAAAATCGTGTTTAAAATATTCACTGCCCCCCAAAAAAAACTAAATTATATGTGAATGTTGACAATATCTGGAAAGATATATATGAATTTTTCCCCATAACTGATGACAATATTTGAGAAAATCTTAGCCATTCAAAGTTTTTGTGTTCTGTCTGTTGACAAAATGACGAGTACATGTACATGCACATGTAGTCATGTATGACTTTTTTCTATTCTTCCATTGATCTATTTTTCAAAGTATTTTGGTTATGTTGACAATATGATTAGTACATGTAGTCATGTATGACCTTTTTTCTATTAATTTGATTTCAAAATGGTTCGCGTAAATTCATGACTTGTAATACTGCATCGACTGATGGATTAAGGGCGGCAAAACAGACCCATGCCTACCCCCCCCCCCCCTGAAACCAAAGTGGCACATTTTAACTAAGTGCACTACTCCAAGAATATTCACCTTCTTAGGTGATGGCCTTCTCTCTTTTTTTTTTTTTTTTTTTTTTTTTTGGGGGGGGGGTGTTACAAATAAATGTTGGAATATTGTGCCCCTCCAATCTACAAACTTTTGTATTTGACCCCCCCCCCCCCCCACTGCACTTGTAGTACTTTAATAAGCTTAAAACAAACGTCTCAGGCATCACCTCAGTTGCTAAGGCAACAAACAAACAAAAACTGAAATAAGATACAGCGAGGGAAAAGAATAGTAAATCAAATTCAACCTTCCCAAACCCTATTACAGATAAGGCTTATAAAGCTTTTATCTACTTTTATCCCGTATTATTCAACAGGGTTCACGTCCTTCTAGCATGACTATAGTCTGTTTGGAGCCAGGAGGGCATTTAATCTGTGTAGAATGAAGTGCATTAGTGCCCTACCGGCTCCAAACAGATATGATGTCAAGTCAGGTACAAGGGCATGACAATATTCGTGAGGTCTGCAAAAATAGAAAAAAAGGATAGAAAGTAAAGCAAATCAAAGAAAAGGGTATGAATAGATAATTTCATGCATGGAAATCACAACCTTGAATCAGATTTCATTCCCACCCCCACAAAGAGAGTCAATCGAAAACAAATTGGAAGTATTCATGTCGGCCTAAATAATGCATGTACAACACAAAACACAATACAGTGCATGTTGGATAACCCCTGTAATATTTATTTTAATTTATGTACACAACACAAGTCTATAAAGATCATACAAACTTGGAAGTATACGTGTGTACATGTACACATACTGTACTACACAACACAAGTCAGTAAAGTGTCAATCATAATAACTTGGAAGTATCACTATGAACATGACGGACAATGAAAGCGGACAAAATATACAGTTCCTCAGGTAGACAATGGAACATCCCTTCACTGCTATTATGTAAAAATGAATATGCATGTGACACCTGTTCTACACATTTTTACATAATAGCAGTAAAGGGATGTTCCTTTGTCTACCTGAGGAACTGTATATTTTGTCGGCTTTCATTGTCCGTCATGTTCATAGTGTATTCATGTCGGCCTACATGTAAATTATGCATGAACAACACCACACAGCGCATGTTGGATAACCCCTGTAAAATTATGTTGACAACACAAGTCGGTCAGGTATACATGTACATGGTTGGTGTGATACTCATGTTCATGCACAAAATACCGGTACATGTCCATGTTTCATGTTACACATACAATGCAGTACATGCACGGGTTCATAATATTGAACTGAGCCAGCACAGTCAAGAGTAAAATGATGACAGCAGTAGCCGCCCCCCCCCCCCTTCTTCTCTATCAATCTTCCTTGAACCATTCACACAACATGCTGGTATGTGGAGTATTATTCCTGATTGTATAATATACAGGCAAGCTTTACTTACTGTAAGTTTTCATAGACCCCATTCTCATTCACTTCGTTGGAGCAGTCTAACTAAGACCCGTTCCTCAGGAGCGGTTCTTAGGTGAGTGAGAACGGTCAAAGTGGTCCAGGAAGTTGACTTCTGGACCGCTCCAGAAGACCACCTCCGGAGGTGGTCTTGAGGAACGGGTCTTATTAAGAGCGGTTTGGACCGCTCTAACGTGCAATGTGAACGGAAGCGTACTTTGAGCGGAAGTGAGCTAGTGACGTTCCGTGCGAAACATGTAGTACGGTACATAGGGTTTGTATTCCGCACGCGAAAAAATTGACCCGCTGACCTGAGCTGCCATAGCAACAAGACCACTTTGACTCGTGGAGCGGTTTGAGCCATAAAAAACTGCTCGGAGTGTGTATGCTCGCAAACCGTTCCTCAAGACCCGTTCCTCTGGAGCGGTCTAACTAAGACCACTTTCAAAGTGAGTGAGAACGGGGTCATAGAAAGCTTCAGTATAGCCTATAGGGACTATCATCTTTCTGTCTAATTAACTATTTACAGTCGTACCGTATTTGCCGGCAATAAGGCCGCAGCGCCGCATAGGCCGCACCCCCAATTTTGACATTATAAAAATATTAAAAAATAACAAAACTTTTGTCAAAGGTGGGATTCGATCTCTAGCGTACAAATGCAGATGCTACCCAAATTACCGCCTTAGACCGCTCGGCCATCCCGTCCCTGACGCTATCCCCAGCAGTTTTCTCCTGTGTATAATTGAAATGGATTCAAAATGGCGATTTCGGCTGGATGCTTCGCGGCAGCTCCGTTAAACGGTCCCTTCTTTTACTTTTGCAATGCATTGGCACGAACTTAGATCAAGATTTATCGGCAGATGTTGTTTTTGGAAGTTTATTTTCGTCTTCATGTCAACAATGCAAGATAAAATTGTCGGTAAGATGTGTGGAAATGTCCTGTACCATAGTGGTATAGTTATTGTACCGTTCGTAGTCCCATATGTGCAAATTCGTGCAAGTTTTGACTTACATTTTTTTTTTTTTTTTACTCTTTCGCCCCAAAGGCAGCACCCCGACTTTTTGATATTTTCTCTTCCAAAAATACTGTTGCCTTAACGCCGGTATATCTTCACTACAGATACATGAATAAGGGCAATTTCACTACCCTATTCATTGTAGTGCCTATAGAATTCATGTTTGGATTATGTTATACTACACTTTTTATATGTTTACATATTTCAGTACATACAGTACACGAGGAGGCAAAAAGCTTTAATATTATTAAGATTTGTTTAAAGGATCTTGGTCATGTTATTAACTACTTTAATAATTTAGAGACCTGTTTCACTCATCAAAGTGTATGTTATATTATTATACACCTCCTTCTCTGTATGTGACCCAAAGGTCATTATCTAGCTAATAACATGTCACCAGAGCTACAATGCAACTGACCTAGAAACGTGTGCTCATTTACCATAGGCCTGTCCTCATCAGCTTGAATTTGCCAAATAACCTGCTATTCTACTATCCCGGTCGCAAATTAGCAAGTTCATTTGCGTTTTCATCAGCCCGCAGTTGCAATTAGCGGGATATTTGGTCAAAAAAATATTCAGAGAAATGTTGGTCTCAGTTCCAAAATATCCCGCTATTTCCCAAATAGCAGGCTAATTTGCGCCCGTCCCAGCTAGTTTGTGATGAGCGTATAAGTCTGGTGAAGACGCAATTTCGAGCTTCGGGATAATATCCAGAGTCTGAAAATAGCGGATTATTTGGCAAACCCGAGCTGATGAAGACAGGTCTAGTTTGATTGTGTTGAGAGTTGAGATGTGAATGGTGGTGGTTGTTTTACCTGACTGCTAAGAAAGCATAAATGCTTGTAAGTAAGCAACCAGATGGCCGACCGCTTTAGGTCCTCTCCGAGGGACCTGGTAATGAGGATTAATGCCTTACCAAAGGGCACTAGCGCATCGCCTGGGTTTCGAACCCGGGTCACCGGATTAAGAGACCACTGCTCTACCGACTGAGCTATCGCGCCTCCTCGATCGAGACGTTAATTCTGGTAAAGATCAAACATATTTTTAAGCTTTCCCATTCTTTGTACTGTATGTCAGTTTGGAAGAATATCACAGCAGAATTGAGGAAACGTATTATTTGCTACATAATATACATATTATAAAACTGAAAAAAAGAAATTGAGACACCTTTTCATAAGTTCTTTAAAAAATATCAAACTAGAAAAAGCAACAAGTTTTCGAACAATAGTCAATAGGCCCTCCCTAGGACAGAACTTTTTAAAGGTCAGTCCCAGGGGCGCTGACTGACATCACGTCACGTTACCTGCCCATAATCTGTCCCCAGCCATGGTGCCACACGAGCCGGCGCACATCAGCCAGTTTCCCATGCGAGAGCCGGTCGAGCCGGCCTTCAAACACGAGCTCCTCGTAGGCGAGACGTCGGTCGCATGCATGTACTGTACACGACAAACATTGCCAGCAGTTAACAAGATTAGTTAATCCCACTTGCTGTAAACAAGCACTTGTGATGGCATGGCAGAGGGCGAGGTAGAGAGGGAGGGAGAGAGGGGTAGAGAGAGAGAGAGAGAGAGGTAGAGAGAGATAGAGAGAGAGCAAGAGAGGTAGAGAGAGAGAGAGAGGGAGGGGAGAAAAAGAAAAAGAAAGATAGAGAGAGAGAGAGAGAGAGAGAGTGGTAGAGAGAGGTGGAGAGAGAGGTAAAAGAGAGAGAGAGAGTCAAGCTCATTACATGATTAGCCAAGCAGCTGACTACTCCAATGAGCCACAGCAATGACGACGACGCCACATTCCACAGAGATCTTGTTGGCTGGGTCCAAGGCAAGGTGAGCTTTGACAGATTAGAAAACTATTCCAAAAGACAGCTACATGTAGCAAGGTGATATGGCAGACAAACTAACCAGACT